AGTTGAAGGTAGAATCCAGAGGTTAATGGGGTAGACTCTTAAATTAGATGCCAGCAAGGTGAAAATTATAGATCTCAGTAATTTCACAATCTGAAATTTACATTTTTTTCTATACAAGCAATAGGATGAAATATAATTTTAAAGCGTGGAAACCCTGTCCCCATGATAGCATCAAACTTGGGAAAAGGACATTAAAAGTGCTTTGGGCTGTAGGATTTCAAGAGTATTAGACTCAATTACATATGAGAGCGATATCTTTTGACATTATAGTGAAGCTAGATCCCTGTATGCTGTGATTAGTTATCATGAGGTCTGGTGGTCCTTCTTGCAATGTCCTCCGCTAAGAATTAAATCCTTAGCCCCTTGTGGTTCAAAGTCCACTTCAGCGACTGGGGTTATTTATATTGAAAACTAAATTATTTTCTGTACTTTTGCTTTTTCCATAAGAAAACTAAAGATTATACCTTCACAAGAAGAATTGTGAAAAGAAACACAGTATAATAGGTAAAGAACACATTTGCTGTTTTTATTGGTGCCTTGCATGGCAGTAATACTGAAAAAAGAGAATGCAAAAACAAAAAAACAAAAAACAAACAAAAAAAACAGGTTGGTGGCAACCCACATCTTTTTTTTTAAGAGTACATAAACTCCTGTTTTATTTTTATTGTGGCATGAATGGTAACATAAAACCAAAAACATGAAAATATACAACTTATATTACACTATGTGTTATGAACAAAATATAAATCTATAACTCTATGTTATATTTACATAATTATTTATTTTATTAAATTTCAAGTGAGATGGTAGGTTGCACATACTTTGTTTTAAGCTCCAGGCATTTGATTGTCTCTTTTCTATTTTTTTCCCATTTTTACTTGTAAAATCCAAAATGTTAGAAGGACTAAGAGCTTTAGAGCCAGTGGAGCTGTATAAATACTGTTTTAGTGAACCAGTGACAGAAACACTGGGAAGGACAGGAATCAATCAGTAGAAAACTTAACACAACATCATCTTCAACTTGGGAAACTGAAAGTTATAGGAAACTTTAAAATTAAATACTGTAAAAGCCTGTCTAAACAAAAACTTATGCCCTAGAAGAGATATCTGAACCACTTTAAGTGGGCTTCATAATTTTCCTTGCAGACCTCGTAATTTTCATTTTACTATTAACTTGATAGACAAATAGTTTATAAACCTGTTTGTAAATATACAGTTGTTTATTACAATTCAATAATTTACCCATTAGAATGAATGAAAATTATTTTTTGAAGTTTTAAATGTGATAAAAGAGATTTTCTCTGGGAACAGTAACTACTTCTGGATTAAGAAAATATCTGAAATTGGGACCACAAAATAGTTAAAGATAATTATCTTTAAATGAATTAAGGTAAAAGTCTACTCCAAAATCAAATCTATGAAATAATTTCATCATCAAAGACAACTCTCTTATATTCATTCCTTATGAGAGGATTTGGTTTCAATAATAATTATGTTCTTTGGGAGGGATTTTATACATGGTTAACTTTTAAATGCAGATGCCAAATAAATGTTACAAATTGACTTAACTAATTTAGGTATAAATGTACTGAAGAACAGTTTTGTCTTTTATCCAATTGCAGTAACCAGCCAACTTATTAGTAATTTGTAAATGAGCAACTTTAACCTATTTTCTCCAGTGATGTTCTCTTAGATTCATATTAAAACATGGCTATTTTTGGAGGAACTTATTATAATAGCAATAAAATGAGAGCTCAGGCAAGATTATTCCTCAGTACTGGGATGAGTGTGTGCCTGTGTGCGTGTATGTGTGTGTATGTTTGCATGCACGTGAGAGAGAGAAAGGGAGAAAGAGAAAGAATGGAGCTGGGATTTGTGAATGAGAGGTAGGAAAGGATAGAGGAGGGAAATGTTATCTTCATTTCAGACTGATCTTACTCTGATTTCCTCTACCTTCGCTTTTTTGATCATCATGGGGCACAGAGAAAGAATACAAGGTTTTAGGATCCTTTACAAAAATGATAAACCAATCGAATGCCAAAAAGGCAACGTGTTAACACAATAAGTTGCTATTCATAGCACCTTTTATCAAATGACTTGAAAGCACTTCAAACATCAATATAATTTTTGTTTGTCTGTTTTCTTTTGGGGAAAACTAAGGCAAAGAAATTACGATACCCAGTGAATTCTATGTCAGGACACAAGAGAACAGAACTCGGGGCTCTGGACTTCCCATTTTCGTCCATGCACGGTGCAGCCTCTCTGACATCAACCTAACTAAATAAAATTAACTTCTGAATTTCAGCAGTTAAAGGTCACCATTAACAATTTCGTTTTCCCCTTCAAATAAAACAAAATAAAGAACAAACAAAAAAAGACCAAACAGAAGTGTTTTGTCAATTCACTGCTAAGTGCGTTAGAATTGGTTTCAGCCATGATTGCCCTCAGTGGCCTCTACCTGGAGCTAAAACAAAGTATTCTTGTAGCCCAAAGTCATGAAATGAAAACAAAGCATCTTTATAATGTGGTGTAAAATAAGTATCCAGCAAATGTGAGAGGTGAACCCACATAAGTCAGAAAGAATTTGTTAACAAAGACGAAGAACAAATTTTTAAAAATCTGTTTTCACATTGTACATAATAACAATATAAAACGAGTGTCTATTTTTTTTCCTTATCCAGAGTGCTTAAAAACAACAAACAAAAACAAAAAAAAAATTGGCTCTAGATGACTGTGGCAATTAAATAACTAAATGAGTGATGAGAGCACAAGTTAATTAAGATTGAACACGACCCTCCTATTCACTCCTTTGTATGAAACACCAGAACTTGACATTGTTGGGGCCAAATTTTTAAAAAGGAGAAAACTTACTGAAGGAGAAGTAAAATTGTGTGGGTGAACGTGTGTGTGTGTGTGTGTGTGTGTGTGTGTGTGTATGTATAAATATATATATATATATATGAGTTGGAAGATGGAAATTTGTTTTAAATATCTAACAGCTTATTGGCTGCACTTCCAAATCAGAGGAGAATAAAATAGAGAGGGAGAAATAAATTATACATAACTTACTAATCTGGGAACAGCTGACCATTATTATTATTATTACTATTATTATTATTATTATTATTTTATCATCATCATTACAACACTAGCAAAAAGAGGCAGTTCAAATGAAAATACAGTCATCAAAAACAAACAGAAAAACAAAACAAAATCTCTGACATGCAGGATATGATCAGCTCCTCCAAGCAAAACCCCAGAGCAAGTCTTTTGAGAGAGAGAAAAATAAAAAGGATTTGTTTTTCTTATTTATGTGTAAAAATCAAACTTTTGGGTCAGGTTTGAGGGGTGGGATAGGAAAATGAGGACTGGAGTGAAAACCATAGCACATCCAAGCTCCCAGCTGGAGTATTGAACTGTCTAATGCTTCAGCACAAATAATGGCAATGGACTGGAAGTGATTTTGCATTTATTTGTACAAGCCCTGTAACTCCCTAGGCAGTTCTGTCACCATCAGTTGTTGCTCTACGCATATACTCGGCTGGAACCAAAAACTGGACTTCCGTGGATTCGTCTTATGGCTAGGGAAAGTGGTGGCGAGGATCACTGGGTTCAGCCAGGCTCTGTTTCTGTCAGGCTGCTATGACTTTTAATCAAATCCTGGTTTTTATGGGATGGGATGCACATGGCCCACAATTGTGAAATGGCCTCCGCCTCATTTCATGGAGAGATGAAAAATACCTTACAAAATCATCAGTTCCATTTCCTGATCAGGAAAGGATGGAATGTTGAAGAAATAAGCTAATTCTGTGTTTCTGGAAAACGGCCAAATACAGTCAAGGAAAAGAAGAATTGCTTTGCTCAGTGTTATCAATAGGAAAAACAAACAGAAATCATTAAGTTGCAAATGTTAGTGGAACCAACTGACCAGGAAGAAGGGACATCTGGGAACAGTTTGCTAGTAGCTTCCATGTTATACATGCACACCTCGATTACACAGGGCCACCTGATCCATCCAATAATAATCGTATTAGAAATTTAAAAATATAATTTCTGAGCCCTATCTTGGTTGTCATTTGAAGTGCAAAGTCAAGGTCAAGGTTGCTTCCAGACCAGTCACTTAGGAGATGTGGGATTTCATCCCCAGATGTGGGTTTAACTCACAATGGTTCAATGTTATTCCTATTAGTACCATAATCACACACATACATACACACAAAAATCCAAGATCAGAAAATATTTTTTTCTCTAAATTTCTTATGTCTCTCTCTCTCTCTCTCTCTTTTCACCTGAGAACAGCACCTACAGTTTCCATTTAAGAAAAAAAAAAAAGTCAAATCTCACCAGCTGCTGGTATTTCAGGTTTTTCAAGGGATTGTCTAAGATATAACACTGTCCTAACTTAAGAAGGAACAGGAAAAAGGAAAGGAAAAAAAAAGGAACTGGGTCAACACTTCAGTACAAATTTGGCACTTGCTCAAAGATGTAGTGTGGTGTGCAATAGATAAAGAAAGTCCTCTAAAGAAAATAATTGCTTATTTTGTGGTGGATAGCAAGGAAGTTAAAAACAGGCTCTTTTTCCCTCTTCCCCCCCATGCACAGACTTCCATCTTTAAAGTATAGAGATGGAGAAGGTGGAGAGAAGTAAAGAGAAATTCATCTTTCTTTTTTTCTGTCAGGTGCATTAAAAAAAAAAAAAAAAAAAAAAAAAAAGGAAAAGAAAGAAAAAGAAAAGGAAAAAACCCAGAAACCCCGTAAAACAAAACAAAACTTATTTTTTTAAAAATTGTAGCACAAAACAACAAAACACATTCACAAGCCACTTGTTGGCACTGTGTACCTGAGTGAGAATTTCTAGAACATTGTAGAACAAACAGCCATAAAGTTTATTAAAAAAAAAAAAGTTGACGGGTAAGACTTCAGTGCTTGGATGTAGCAGCTGAATTACTGGCATTATTTTACCCATAGCTTATTTCAATCTCTTGTTGTTGATATTGTTGTTTGCTTGTATTTTTTTTTTTTTTTCCTTTCCAAGCCTTTTGAGGCTGAGGTCTATTAGTCAGCTGATGTCCCAACTATTTAAGACTAACAGTTAAAGTAACAGTCAGTGTATGAGAAAGTTAATGTGCTTGGCCACTGGTAAGGATGAACCAGCTAGGGCTTCTTTAAGTCCTAAGGTCACAACAATCTTTTGACCCTTATCAGTTGGCTTGTCCTGCAATATGGTTTTCACTGTCACTCCCATAATCTACATCCGGGTCATCCTCTTCCTCATCGAACTCATCATAAATTTCTCCGTTGATGTCCTCGGCCTGTATCTCTTCTTTGATATGTGGCTCCTCTCCTTTCACGCCGTAAGTGCTCTGGATAACAGGCATCCCGGGCTCTGGGCTGCTGGACACGCTTGAGTGCTCTGAGGGCAGGTGAGGGGAGGGCATTCCCGCCATGGCGATGGCTCCAGGGTACACAACACCAGCGGTGGCGATGGGGATCTGTGCTTGTTGCCTGCAGAAAGGAAGTCCCAAAAAAAGACTGTGGGTGAGGGGATACTCAGAGGCACACTTTACTCTATAACGAATCTGCTCAGCTTGCCCAATTCTAAAACCGTGATTCTCATCCTATTGCCCAACATTCAAAAAACTGCATCCTCCTGTGATGTCAATACCTTACCTCTGTCTACAGCTTGGCAGATCACAAGGCACTTACATGTGTTACCTATTTGACTCTTAAAATAACTGTTTTATTACTATCTTATTTTATAAAAACAAAACAAAACAAAACAAAACCTGAGGTGCAGAAAGATTAAGCAGCAGAACTTGACCCCAAGTTCATGTCCCCTTCACTACAAGTGTTTTCAGAAATAATTAAGCTACAGATAATGCAATTTTAATGGGAAAAAAAAACCCTAAAATATTAGAGTTCTCGAAATAAAACGTTATTGCTCAGAACTCACCAGAACTGAACAGTAACTTATTGTCCACCTGGTCCCTGCAATAGTTGGGGGGATGGGAAACAGGGCATACAGCTCTGCAGCCGCACAAGGCCCTGGGCTTAGAAAGACCTTATGCTTGGGTTAAAGAATTTCAAGACTGCAGCAGCAGAACTTAACTCTTTAACAGAAACCCCACATTTTCATTTTGCACTGGGCTCCACAAATTATGTAGCTGGTTCTATTGGGAAGGGATTAATAGATGATGTTCATTTAGGCTCCATTCATTCATTCGTTTGTTTGTTCATTCATATGTCTACTATTTCATCCGTGTCGGGTTTTGTACTCAGCTTTGAGGAGAGTCATGCATTGGCATATAAAGCAAAGAGCCCACAGACTCTTTCCAGGGAGGAAGATAGGGAGGGCAGACTTTAAAAAAAAAAAAAAAAAAAAAAAAAAACAACAAAAAAATTTTTTTTTTTTTTGAACTATCCTCTGGCCATTTTCAGAACAGTATTTATTATTCTAAGAAGCCCTTGGGATCTTAATAACTTCTGTTCCAAATAGGAGCTACCTCCTTTCCTGCTTTCTGAGAAAATTCTGCAGAAGCAATGAAGTTGCCCGCAGCATCACAGGACACCGCGCCCAGCCTCGCCAGAGGAAGCAGGTAAGACCTCCTCCTGGGAGCTCCATTCTTGATTCAGAAGCGAGCTTTCCCGTTCACAACCGTGTCGTGCCCTAAATAGAATCTCCACTTCGCCTGATCTACAAAGGCCACACGTGTGCCTTGAGAGCCCAGAAACCCCTCTATATCCCAAAGCAAGTGTTTCTTTTGAAACCATTTTTATGATGTATTCTCTCCAACAAGAATGGTGTCGAACTTGTCCCTGTGATGCCTTGGAAGTAATGAACGCCAATGAGGCAAAGAACTGATGATGCTTCCCTGTTTTTAACAACGCACTTCAAAAGGCTTACTTTCAGATAGTTTATCCTCAAGCCAGCTGTTAGGAAAGCTCCTGGGAGAGCCAAGGTCCTAGGCCCTTGGCGTCCCTCCATATGGAGGTACAGGTGGGGGGACAGTCTAGTCCCCGAAAATACACGGAGTTCAGGCTCTTTTTCAAAAGGCTGCCTCGCAGCAGAATAAGAATGTCTCACACCCCATTAAGTGGAACAAGGAGCGCTCCCTGTGCAGACGCGACCGAGAGGCGCGTACCCGACATTGAAGTACTGCCGCATCTCCTGCCGCCTGTTCCTCATGATGGCCTTGTACTCGCCGATGCGCAGCTTCTTGCCGTCCACCAGGCAGGTGCGCTTGGGCCGCGGCTTGTATTTGTAGTCCGGGTACTTCTCCAGGTGCTGCTTGCTGAGACGGGCTTGCTCCTCGTAATATGGCTGTTTCTCTAGGTTCGTCATAGCTTTCCAGCGAGATCCTGTGAGGAAAAGAAGGTTAGGATTCCAACTGGCGCAGCTGCGGAGGTTCCTAAAAAGGTAGCCCTGAGAACAAGGAAATCTACAGTAAAAATGCGGGCCCAAACTCACAAACACATAAAAATGTGTTTGATTAGCAAAGGGTGACTCATGAGGTGAGATCCCACAGGACAGAGGTGTTGCTGGCTGTGTCCTTAAGGAAACTGTGTATCCAAAGATACAAAGGTGGACGATCTTTTTTTTTTTTTTTTTCTGGCTGGAATTAACAACTGAGCCAACCATGTACATTTTATATTTAAAAGCTCACAGATAATTTAAAGAATATACCTTTTGTTTCCACATTGGACCATGATATAATTCAACTGTGAACTGAAAATTTATGCAAAAACTTATTATACATTTTCAATCTGTGGCTAATTATCTAGGTGCTGAGCATTTTTAGGTGGGGGATACATTACTTACTACAAGGGTTTCTCACATATGCTACATATAATTCTCCTCAAAATTTGTAAGTATGCTTTCATGAATGATTGCATTTAAAAATTCATTTCACTAAAACTTTAACTACAAAAAATTATATTAATGAACATGCACTGGGTAACTACTGTGTGCTAGATACTGTGCTAAAAACTTCACACAAGTTGTCCATTTTTACCTTTCACTGGGATCCTGTAAGGTAGTATTAGCATTTTTACCTATTTCCATAGATGAGAAAATTAAAATTCAAATAGATGAAGTAACTTATCAAAGGTCACAAAACTATTAAATTGCAAACCTGTGACTCAAACTCAGGTTGGATGTAATTGAACCTGAACATGCTACAATGTATGTTTTTAGATACCTATACCCACCTGCTATGATCTAGCAGAGATTAGAACTGCCAGAATAAATATGTATGGGGTAAGATTTTTCTCTTAATAAATCAACTTTCAATAATATAAAGAGATGTCATTTCTTGAAGAATCGTATGCATTAATAATATTAATCCAATTGGTAATCCAAATTGGTTTTCCCCTTCTTTTCACTTTTGATTTTGGTTTGGCTTCAACTAGGATCACACACACACACACACACACACACACACACACACACAGCGTGCGGCTTAATTAAAAATAGTTATGCTAATTCTCAATATAAATGTGATTTAAAGCTTTGGTTCTATTACTGTGGCTGTGTGTAGTAGTAAAATAACTAGTGGTAATAATGTTTACTTTTTATTAAGCATGTGAGGAGATTCTATTTGCAGATGAAGTGTGTTTATCAGCAAGTAATCAGCTCAACTTTACCCAAATGTACAAAGACCAAAATAACCGGAATTGGGAATTCCCTACTAAATAGGTTCTGGTACAGAAGCTTTACCTGCCCTGCAAGGTCATCAAAGCAAGATCTTAAGGCTTTTGAATGAATTCCTTGCTCAACCACAATTCTGTATCTCAAATGCAAATAGCTCACTGATGAACAGTTCTTCCCTACAAATGCAGACAATTCCTCAATATGGGCTGTTACATGTATTAAAGGAATACAGTAACAGGGACGATACTCTTCCCTTAGAATTCTTTCCTATTGGAACAGATGTTGCCTGAGTGGGTCTATCCACATAGGTGTTACAAAAATTTATAAACATATTTTTTTCCCAATCTAGACAGTCAATATGATTTTATTCTATTTACTACAGAAATCCAGGTTATAGCTTAAAAAATAGAGGTTGTTTTTTTATTCCTTTCTGAAACTTGTGTTTAAATAGCCATGTCCAATAATTTGTAGGTATGATCTCAAACGCTATATTGCCCAACAATATTCTCTAGAGGTACTGGAAACTGTTATGTTATTCTCAGGGCAAATATAAACACAGATAAAGCTATAATACTATTGAACTAGATCAATTCTTTTTGGGAAGTTTCTTCCAAGTATGTATAACAGGGCTCTAAACTTCAGATCAGGGAGTGCAAAAGTGAGCATACCAGAAATAATTTACTTAAGAATTACATAAATACATTGAAAAACGGACCTATGATTGTTGACTTTAAAATTCCGTATCTTTATCACTAGAGAGAACAAAGAAACTAGCATTCTCAATTAGAAGAGGAATTGCTAAGTGTTCTTCTCTAAGTCTGAATGTTCTATAAGCTTGAAAAGCATGTATTTCTCTAAGGAAAAGGAATGTTTATGCCTCATAGTAACCTGCCTCAGATTTCCTACTATGTGCATCCTACTGTATTAATTACTGAATATGCAGTGATGAATCATTATGTTCCTTATCTTCTTGAGGCTCATATTCCAGTGGAGAAGAAATCTATTAAGCAGCTAATTAAAAAATTTATTATTTTAATTACAATTGTGGAATGTATAGGAAGCTATGTGACCATGATAAAGAGTTGGGATCAATCTTTTGTAGGTCAGGAAGGCTTTGCTGTGGAAATGACTCCTATAGGAAACAGATAGGGAGGAAGGAGGAAGAACAGAATGGTCAGGTGGGAAGAGGAATTGGAGGAACTTAAAGTCAATCTAGCTGAAATGCAGAGGGAAAGGTGATATATATACACATATAGACATTATATGATAAATGAAAGATATATTAACATAAAGATGACATACACAATAAAAGAGTGTAAATTCTCTAACAAGTTGACTTCTAAATCCGCGTGAACGGGAATCACAGAATGTTTAGATACTTGATAATACAATTTCCTTGGAAATATCACTGAATCCTAAATTACATTTTAAAAGATGGCCATATCATAGTTATAAGTCTTTTTAAAGAATTAAGGTAGCCTAAGCACTGTGTGTACTTGGCAAAATGGCTAACCATTCCATTTTATGACAGTGGAGGCAGTGTTTCGGTTTGGTGGCAAATACAGTTTTCATTTTTCAATAATAACTGTTGAATAGAGAAAAATAAATAACAAGTTTGGTTTGGGTTTTAATGGCTTTGCAGGTACAGCACCCACTGTATATAGCTACGCTGTGAACCCTGAGACGCACTACACAAGCAATTTAGGTCTCTCAGGAGAAGACGAAAACATCTACTTGATCTGGGTGGGGCTGGTTGCTTACCCTGGACCACGTGCAGGGAGTATGTTCCCTGCATTTTTCAAAAGACTGGCCTTTTACAATGGAAAATGCAGAAGGACATTTGGGTATTCCCCCTGATAACAAAGAGGATGACTAAATTTAAAAATCTGATGTTCAAAATAAGAAGGAAAAAAGAAAAAAAAGAAAAGAAACCACCATCAGTCTTGAGAGTCCTCTTTTCCTTTCTAAATCTGCCAATACAATAAAAATGAAGAGTTTGAGCTGAGCAGCATTGTCATCTCCATGGGGTCTGTAATGAATTTGCACATTTTACTCCAACTACTGTATATCTAATCAGAAAAAGATGTCCCCCATCCCCTGATCTAGCGCCAAACAGTAAAAGGTGATTCCTTATGTTAACAATTTCAGCAGAATGGCTTATTAAAACCAGATTTTAGGGTATTATAAAATGCTTAGAAGCCCTTTAAAATGTCAACTAGGATCCCCAGAGACTATGTAAAATGTCAACCCAGCTCAAGCGCCTGTTTTAAGCAGAATGAATTAGCGGCATGCTGTCGGAGGCTGTTATCCAAAACAATCAGTAAAGAGGAAAACATCAAGCTCTCTTTGTACTTTTATATGAAATGGGCCAGTTCGAATGATCTTCTGGATATCTGAAGATCACTTATTTATTTGAAGCTATGACCAAATATTGAGGTCCCAAACACCTCAGTGTTTTTCTTTTCTTCCTATCTTTAATGAACACAATTCTCTTGAAAAGTCTAAAATCAGACAGCAGTCTTTTTCATGTCACCCATTATGATATAATCATATGGTCATTCTAATATTCTTTCCTTCAAACCAGAAAAAAAATGCTTGTAGCTGGTCATGTCTTCCCATAAAATCTTATGCTGCATATCCTAAAGTATTTCACATTATCAAAACTGATATTTCTCTTACACTTAGGATAAAGTTTTAATCAGTGACTATCATTTTTCCAGTATTCAGACACAGGAATTGAATGATATAGACAGTTTAAACAATCCATATTTAGTCTGTTTTTTCAAATTTTAACATTTTGGGATTTCTAATTTTGCGATAACTGATACATTAGGATATGGAATATGTTTACATAAAGTATTTTATTCTTTTCTAGAGTTTTTCCAAATGGAACAGGTATGATAACTATTTAAAAATTGGGACACTTTGGGGCACCTGGGTGGCTCAGTGGGTTAAAGCCTCTGCCTTTGGCTCAGGTCATGATCCCAGGGTCCTGGGATCGAGCCCCGCAACAGGCTCTTTGCTCAGCAGGGAGCCTGCTTCCCACCCCCCTTCCTGCCTCTCTGCCTACTTGTGATCTCTGTCTGTCAAATAAATAAAATCTTTGAAAAAAAAATGGAAAAGTTCATATGGAAGGTAAAATTTGGTCATAAAAAAGGAAAAACAGATCAGAGATGGTAGAGGTGTAAAAAATGTGCCTTTCCTTTATCCATAAATATTCACATTTTCTAAGCTTCACATACTGTTATCTTTTGACATAACATTCATTTAAAGATCTCAAAATCATTTTAGATGAAAACTGAAACATAAGTTCAAGTGGTTAATGGTTTCTGTTTTGTTGCGTTACTTATTTGTTGAAGCCCAAATTCAGTTAGGTGTTCCTATTCTTTTCTTGTTCTTTAGCTCTTAGAAGTCAGGGAATAAATAATCTAAAATGTGCTTAGATTATCTGGTAGCTAGCCACCACACTATCTGAAGATGAAGAAGGTGGTGATGATGTCAAGTGAACAGCGCAAAAGAAATGGAATCTTCCCTTCCTTTTTCTGGGACTTCAACTGGTCTATAGTTGGTCTCTTTATAATCATTACCTTACCTCTCACCATCTCTTCTGCATGCTTTCAGCGTCTGTGTACATAAGGCAAATATGTACTGTATCTGTTAAGCTGAAAGCTGCAATAGCAGGAAAAGTCCCTTTTTAAAAGATGCTGAAAATCTGCTGAAGGCTACAAAAAGTATAAATTAAAAATTGCACCACACGCCTCATCTTCTTGTGTCCTGACAGTCTTAACTGGTTTTCAGTTATAGTACCGGAACAAACCTCACCTATATGTATTCTCCAGCCCTACCACATGAAGAATTCTGTAGCTCAAAGGGAAAGAACAAATACAGTCAACCTCATTGTCAAGTGGCTCAGAGGAAAGGAACTTTTATCTTAGTCTTGCTACAAAATATCTCTAGATCTTAAAGAAGAGAAAATACTGCAACAATTAGTATGGAGACACAGGACTAAGCAAGCTAAAAAAACTGAGCACCTTTCTCCAAGGACATGAAATGCTTCGTCATCAGAAGGAAAGCCTCAATTAATGGTGCTTATTTAGATAAACAGATCACCCCCGCCTCCAAAGCCAGTACCTTTCAACAACTGCAAGAAACAGAGCTGTACATTTATTCCATGCGTCTCATAACCATTAATATGTTTCTTACCCAATATCTTGCTGATGTTGGAGTTGTGCATGTCGGGAAAGGCTTGAAGGATTTTCCTTCGTTCATCTTTAGCCCACACCATGAAGGCGTTCATTGGACGTTTTATGTGGGGTTCATTGCTACCACGGCCTCTGGATTCTCTGTAAATTCTTGATTCTGAGACTCCAGCACTTCCTAAAAATAGGGAACATTGCTTCACGTGAGTGTTAAGACTTTTGGTAATTCTATTCTTTCTATGGCTACTGAATATTTGTCTAGTGAAATATCTATTCTAGTCTATCAAAATATGAATATAAAAAATACATCTGATAATAGTACTTCCAGTTCTTGAGACAGATGCTTGTTCAAGTCTCTGTGATAAGATGATTGCCTGTGGTGGCAATCATCGTATCTACATTTTTAATCCATTTCTAATATGTTTTTTTCCTTTTTCTTGGATGGACTATGGAGTATTTCACCATTTTCTTTCAAGAGGACACAAGAAATTTGAATGTGTAATCTTTGATGCAAATTGGAAAGAGAATAGTTGGGGCATACCTATAGGCATGCTGGTACCATGGAAATATCAAACAGTTAGAGAAGCTCACAAAATTGTGAAACACTGTCCTCTTTGGCACAATGGATGACCGCCAGTGAGGATATGTCTCTGCTAGCTAAAGATGGTCAGAACACACAGTAGTCATGCCCTTTTCCCCCTTTTGAAGTAAGCTAAATAAAAATGCAGCTAAATAAAAATTTGAAGTTAAAATACAATATGGAAATTCTTCCGTAATGTGTTTGGATTTTCCTTGCAATTTTGTGCTAATAAATACATGAACTATGCTGATGCACTAATGATGGCCTGATCCCCAGAAGAGCTCTGAAAATCGTAGGGGGAAAATAAACAAACAGTTATACTACTATGGTTTCTTTAAAAGTCCACAGCCCCATATTTAAGGTGAAACAAATAATATAATTATTCCCCTGAATTTTCTCCCTCATGTGCTTATTTAGATAAACCCACTGAAAGAGACCCACTGAAAGTTCCTTTCCAGTCAGCAGTACTCATGGAGATAAAAACACAACCAAGAGCCACAGTAGAACCCTTGGAAGCTGCCATCACTCCTCTAGGCTTCACGTGACTTTGTAATTTCACCAGATTAAACAGCTTCTGAGACACTCAGGTTTAGGCAAAGAAAATCAGGAGAGGCAGAAGTAACCACACAATGGTGATACCAAGTTTTCTAGGGTTATCGTTAGAAAACATGGAAGAGATGTATTTTGGTAACATATAAATTTTTTAAATAATTTGGGCAATTCTAGAGCTTGTATCTTTAATAAAAGCATTTTTTTTTCTTTCTTCATACTCCTCTTCCTCTCTTTTCTCAATTAGAAGGAATACTAATCAACCAAAATTACCCAGACTTGAAGACCTCTAGAGCAGCCAACAAAAACACAGCATACCTGGTGGTGGAGTTTCTCATTATTTCTTACTCATACTATGATCTTTGGTCTGATGAAGATTAGAAAATATTTTGCATACAAGCATGACTGAATTTAACAAATAACAGCCACAAAATTGTGATGTTTTAATGCTGATTACTATGGGTATATTTTATCATGCTAATACAACTTAAAACTTATGAAATGTGTTATTACCAGTAATTGTCTTTTTATTGACAAAAATGAGTGCTAATACATGGCAACATCTTTCTGAAATGGGTTTGTAACTAGCAAATGATCATTTGCACATCTGCTTTTTCTTGTTCTTACACCTTACAACAACATAAGCAATAAAATGAACATTATGCAACTTCATCAAAGCTAAACAAGCTCTTTATATGTACTTAGGCCACGTTTATCTTAGCCAAGGGAGGCAGAAAAGAGAAGGCAATGTTTGGCTCCAACAGGCCAGGAAAACACTGACTTTGGTTGGATAGCCAACTGAATAAAATTCAGTTTTGATAATATTATCTGGCTACACCCTCAAGTTTGGCTAGTCTCAAGGTTAGTGTAGAACTGCACTTAAAAGTAGAATTGGGCTAAGGCACCAAGTAGACAGTTATATATATAGGGGAACTCAAGGCCATCTCCTCTGTCCTAAAGTATGCTTCCTAATGGTTGCTTCATTGCAGTCTTATCTATATGCAGCGGACTTTCTCTACCATAGTAACAAATTTGAGGACTGTGCTCTCAAAATGCATATATGGCACCTGACACTGGAGGGACGTTCCCAGCTATGGCTCAGGATAAGGGGAATAGTACTTTCTTCTTTATCTCTCTTTGCTGTGCTATTAAAATTAGCGTGTCAATTTAGCTAATTGTCATTGGGGATGTTTAGAATGTTCAGAGATGATACAGACAACAGAAGTCTCCAGGCATGTGAAGAAAGCATGAGATTGTGCAGCTGGTGTTCCAGCTGGGTTATAAAGGGGAGGGAGGACACCTGACTGACTAATAAACAGTATAAGAGTGAAGGGTTCCAAAATGCAAATATACAGACACACACACATATGTGTGTGTCTCCTGAAAATATCCACTTAGTCTTGTATTCTGGTCCGAGTTTGACAAATGAAAACTGGAAAATGAGCTTACAGACACAAGTTTCTGAACAGTTTGGTTTGGGTACAAGAAATAGGGAAGTGAGAGATAAGTTTGGCAGTGACTGGGAGTATTTGCTTCAGAATCATGCCATCTTGAATCCAAGACTGCCTCTGGTACTCAGTAGCCCTGTTATCTTGGAGAAAAATGGCTCAAAATTCCCAGGGGCCCAGCTCTTTATTTGTAACAGTATTTCTCTCATAGGATGTGCTAGAAATGAATGAGAGGATTTATGCAAAGCCCTCAGCAGATTACTTGGCACATGGGAACTGCTCAGTACATGTGAGCTCTCCTTGTAACCATCAGGTATAATGTGGCTGTCTAACATACTTTTTAGTCATTTTAACTGGGACAAATAGACACGTCTGCACATTATCGGAATAGACATGAACAATTTTCACAAACCATCAGAATCTCCACTCATATTGAAATCCATCATGGCATGGCTAAATTTTCCTTCTTCGTTCTGTTTAACTGCCAGTTGCTGAGTCAGACTCTCCAGTGTTGTTTTTTCCTTAAAAAAAGAAATTTATAATGAGAGCTCAATCTGGAAATTGTAATTATTCAAAGACATCTTTTATTTTTCTTGAGCCATATATAATACATTAGCTTCTGGGAGGGACAGAAATCTGATTTATTCACCTTTGCACATTCAGTACCATAATTATGTCGAGCTGACTGAAGCAAATGTTCAGCAGGGTTTTTGAAGGAACTCTGATTCTTAGAATCCCCTATACAGCTTTGGCATTTGGGTTTGGTGTGCCTCAGGGGTATGTGCCGGGATCCTTGGAGACAATCTTCCCGAGTCATAAAACGTGCAAAGACATTTCATGAAAGCAACCTGTCTTACAACATTTGGAATGCCTTTACTTTTAGCCAGACAGTAGAAGTACAGGAGTGGCATGGGGCCCAGAGAAAGTCTTCCAATAGTCAGGTGACCAACCGATAGAAACATAATTCACAGTAGTGCCCTCTGGTTGCCATCTCCCTAAATGCCATCTGCATTCCTCATGCAAGGGTAATGAAGACGTTTAAATATTCATTGCTAATTGCTTGTCAAGTCTCTGTACATTCGATGTGAGTGCCTGCTACTTGGACCACAATTTGACTTGGATTGCTAAGCCAAAATATTGAGTTGGCGAATTATTTGAGATACAAATACACCAAAATTAGATCTGCAAAGACATCAAGTCATTTAAAAGCATGCAGTGCATGATTTGAATTCACGGAGAACATGGCATTATAAACTAAATTATTTTCAAAGAAAACATAATGCTCAATCTAAACCACATGAGATATTAAACAACTTTCAATTAAGCAATTGGGTGATTTTATGGAAAGAAAAATCATACGATGGAAGGTTTACAACTTTTTCTAGCACTTTCCATCACTGCTCTGAGGATGACTTGGTTCAAAAACAGTTTTAAGAAAAGTATCTACTGGATTTCATAAAATTTGCTCAGTTTTTTTTATAATTAATTACCTCATTTTCTGAGGAACGCCATCATGAAATGTACAGATGACTCACATATATGGTGAGATAGCTACTGACACAATAAAAGGTTCACAGAAAATAATCAACTACTTAAAATAATTACATTACAGGTAAAGGGGCCCAATTAATGTTCCCACCGAGGACCATTAAGATATTGATATTAATATAGTACATGCTTTATCTCTACAAAATCTCTGACAGTATTACAACTGTACATACTAGATAAAAAATTCTCTCAATTTGGTGGTCTTGGAACTCCTATTCATCAAAGTCTGTATGTATGATTTAGTACAAAAAATATTTAATTGTCCTTTAGTATAAAACACAGCAGGGAAATTGGAAACAAAGTAGTTGATATCAACTTGAGTTCTACAGGACTATACAGTACCAGAACTAAGTTGAAATAAATTATATATTTAAAAATGTAGAACCTGATCCAATTAGTTTGTGTAAAATTGGTATTTTCAGCTGTTTTATGTGCTCTGGATTTCTTTTGCTGAGAGTCTGCTGTATATATTCGGCTAAGAACAGGACCACCAAGGACACCCGCTTAACAGACTCTCTTTATAGTAAATGTAGCTGTTAAAATAGACAACAGTTACATTAAAACACACACACACACACACACACACACACACACTCCATCAACATGATCTGATCATCTCCAGGCAATGAAGACTTCACTGTACAATCTTTGGGGAATATACTAGGCATGGATTGCCTCTCAGGTTTTAATTTAATGGTGAATAGGGCAATAAATGCTACATATTTTAGAAAGAGTTTTCTATTCTGAAGCAAAGTCTTTTAAGAAGAAAAAGCAAAATGGAGGCAACTGGAGTAGAAAAAAGATGAAATGTTGAGTGACTGCTAAGTTTTCAAGTTCATCTGTATGGATCTTGTACCATCTCACCAAGAGACTAAAATTAGCAAATGATGGGCAGGAAACTAACCATTAGTTTTTACACTACGTAACTTCTAATCATCTAACCCTAAAGTACACAATACAATAAAATTAATTAGTTACCCAAAATGGAATTTACAATACTTCCCAAGAGCATGTCAGTGGGAGATAGTGGAAGTTAACGAGGTAAGCTGCATTGTTTTTGTGACTTTTCACATAGCTGATTCTCTGGCATGTGAACACGGAAATGAGATAGGACTGGAGGAATAAGGGAATGTGTGGTGTGCCTTTAATTAAAACACTTTACAAATGTAAATCAAAATGGTAACATTGGCACATTTTAAAAATTCTTGCTGACAATAAATTCGGAAGACTTAAAGGAATTGAGGTAAAGGGGCTATACTAAAACCTAAGTGCTTACATTGTAAATACATGGCATATAAAAATACAATCATTCCATGGCAAATAATTACCATATAATTTCATATGAAAATTGATCCTATACTAAATGAAAGTTTATATTTAGTTCTTTTTTTATTTTAAGATTCTACTTATTGAACTGAGAGAGGGAGAGTGAAAGAGAGAGAGTACAAGCAAGGGACGGGGCAGAGGGAGAAGCAGACTCCCACTGAGCAGGGAGCCTGATACGGGGATCGATCCCCAGACTCTGGATCATGATCTGAGCTGAAGGTAGATGCTTAACCGACAGAGCCACCCAGGTGCCACCCAGGTGCCCTATGTGTTTAGTTTTTATGTATGGGGTATATATCAATCTTCACGTGGATAGTTGTCTAGACAACATACTGAAACATCAGAAGAATGAGTTGAATGTAAGAATCGTTCTCAAAAGTTTAAATTCAACTTTATTTAATTCAATACCTATATTCAATACCAAATTCAATACCTATATTTAGGTATATAGGAGGAGAAAGAATCAGCCAAATGTTATAAAGCCCAAATGCTGGTAGCTTGAGAAGATTCCTCTGATCCTACTCCTTCCAATTCCACCATCTCTGCTGTTCCCTTCCCCAAAAAGTCCATCTCTATGCACTATCATTCTAAAATTCAACCATTTAAGTTTCTGTTCCTTGGAGTAAATCTTTCCTTTTCTAAAAGCCTCTTTTCAAAAGAGCCAACATTACTCAAAAAGGTAACATTTTGATTCCCAAAGTTCCTATAATTAAATTGATCTTTTCTAAATAGAGGCACCTGAAGGTGTCTGGGTGATTCAGTGGATTAAGTGTCTGACTCTTTATTTCAGCTCAGGTCATGATCTCAGGGTTGTGAGATTGAGGCCTGACAGGGCTCTGAGCTAAGTGTGGAGCCTGCTTGAGATTTTTCTCTTTCCTTCTTCCTCAACCCCTCCCCCCAATCTCCCCCTTAATTAATTAATTAATAGAGGCAGCTGAAACAGAATGAATTCAGTTTGATATTAGGTAGAAGGGGAGTAAATGGGGAAGATCCTGAAAATGGAAAACACTCAAGAAATTGAGCTCGGGGAAACAGAAAAAAGTGCTGATGGGCACAAATGATAATTCTTACCAAAGTTAGACTCTTAGTCCCATCTGGCTCCAATAAAAAACGTATTAGTCAAGAATTTGTACAGACAAAGAATACCTCATGGCCCCACTTTAAGATCAGTGTTCTAGAATACAAATCCAGTACAGCACTTTTACTTAATGCCCTTCAATACTATCCAAATGTTGGTTTAAAACTGACAAGATTCGCTGGTTTTTCTCTCCTCTATGTTTTTTCTATCAAAAAAATAAATAAATAAATAAAAAACACATTTAAAGAAACATTTGCTAAAATTCTGAAATGCTCTGAGTAATCTCAGAGTAGAGGGTGCAAGCGTATTAGTTACTAGAAAGTAGTCAAAATGGGTCTTGAGAATTTATAAATAAAGATCTAACAAGATGACCTATATGCTTTCTCTCTTGAATACAAATTAGCAATTAGATAACAATAAGATTTCCTTTAGAAAGATGATTCTGACCTGGCTAATCAAATCTTATACAATACTGTAGATTTACTGAGATCAAAGGGCAACATTAGGTAAAGTCTATTTTTACTTGAAAAATCTTGTGACCCCATGTTGACTTGAGCAAGGATCCAAATGAATTGTATCCCATCTACAGAAGAAAATATAGTTTTAGATCATATACTTTTTTGGGGTCAACTAAATGATTCTAAAACCCAGCCTTTAAAGAAGTATTATTACTGTGCTAATATTCACTTAGGCAATTTGACAGCTGGTCTTGGGCTCTAGGGCTCATTTAGCTGACTTGCTTAATAGAAAACAACACATGTATTATTTGTGTATGACACCACGCTATGGTGGGAATCAACGAGCAAAGTCAAGAAATATCTAGAGATGTAAGCAATGAGTTGATTAGAAGTAGTCGGTAAAGATCTGTACCTCTGGAAGGGCAAAAGACCATTGGGATTAATGGGAAGAGGACATACAGAGAAAAAAAAATGGGTTTGGGGGTCCAAAACATCACTTCTTGACCAAACTCTGCTGTGTATATTAGCTATGCTACTTTAGACAAATCAATTCTCCTCCCTGAGTCCCAGAATCCTAATTTGTAAAATGGGGTTTAAATATAATGATAGATTCTCATCAGCTTAACAAATTAAGGTATCTGTGTTTTTAATATTAGGGAAAAAACTCAATGAGGGAAATTGAAAAAATAAAGATTCTTCCTGACATATATGAATTACAGGAATAATTAGTTCAATACCAGTATTAAGTAACTTGCCGTGGGTATGACCTTTTATTTTCTATGGCTGGAGTAGTGGACAAATACGCATTCAAAAGGAGAGTTTGGCTAACAACACTAAGAATTGTTGAGATTTTTTAAAATTCCTCTTGTCTAACATTTGAACAATCTTTTTAATCTTTTTCATTTTTCATTTGATGTTCAGGCGTGATGGTTTTTAAGTCTAGTACATACTTAAATTGAAAGCATCTCTTATTCCATTACTTCAACTCATACAGAATATAACTAAAAATTCACCATTTATAGAGGCTCAAACAAATATCCTGTGTTATTTCATAGAGCAATGAAAACAAAATAAAACAAAACACACACAAAAACTCTTCTTTTTTAGAAGA